AAAAAAAAAAAAAAAAAAAAAAAAAAAAAAAAAAAAAAAAAAAGCGTCCGCAGAGACTTAAGAGGGACGGAGGGACTCTGGTCCTCGCCGTGAGCCTCGCGCGCTCGGCTGCTCCGAGGCCGCCGGGTCTAGATGCCCTGCGAGCGAGTGGCCACCACCTCCGGCGGACCTCGGGCCCAGGCGCCCATCTCTGGGGGAGTCCTCCGCCCTCCCTCCGTCCCTCTTAAGTCTCTGCGGACGCTCGGTCCGTTGTCACCGGCTGCCCTCTCCCCTCCCTTGCCGGGCCGGGGGCAAGGGGGTGGGGGGTAACGGCCCTCCCCGTGCCTCTGGGTGCTCCCCCTTGGGCACCCGCGTCGCGGATCACCGACCACCCCCTGGGCATTTTTACCCTTGTTCTGTGCAGGGCGTTCTTGGCCCGTGGCCTGAAGTGGGCGAGCCGGCCAGGGCAGGAGCCTCCCTCCGGAGACCCTGCTTCTCGCCAGTGTAACCTGGTTGGGGCGGCTGCCTGGCTTAGTCAGTAGAGCCTGCGCCTCTTGATCCAGGGGTCCTGAGTGCAAGCCCCAGGCTGGGCGTAGAGGTAACTTAAATGAAGCTGGGTGAGGTTTGGAATTCACTTACTCCAGGGGTGACGACTAGGTGCTCCAGGGTCCAGGGGCTCGTGGGGGTCCCTGGGGTGGAAACAACCCCCTCCGGAGGTTTTTGAAAAGCAGGGGAAGGTGCAGCCTGGGTAGGACCTGAGGAGTGGCCGGGACTTAGGACCCGCTAGCCACCCGTGTGCCGGGCCCAGCTGCAGAGGCCCACGGGTGGTCAGGCTCACTTCCGAAGCTGGCAGGCCTCTTTCTTGGGGTTTTCGTCCTTGCCACTTCCCGTGGTCTGGGTGACTGGCCCTCGCCTCGCCCTCCTACAAAGCGCAGGAACTCCTGGCTGGGAGGGGCTTGGGAGACAGGGACCCCCAGCTGTCCAGGAGCAGTGGAGATGAGGCAGTGCCCCCCGCTCCCCGCCGAGGATCTGAGCCCTCCACACCACCTGGAGGGTTATAGTCATCGGGCCGAGACGGCAGATGGGGAAACCGAGGTCAGAGTGGGGAGCAGCACCCCCAAGTCACCCAGCTTGTAAACTGCAGGTCTGAGAACGGAACGCAGGGTCTGGCTCTGGGGACCTTTGGTAAATGCCCTACTCTGCGGCTGTGAACCTAAGAATAGCTCTAAAGCACATGGGGTAGGTGGAGGTCCCGCAAATCTGACTGCCCCACGGGGGTGTCCCAGTCTATCCAGCTGCCGGAACAGAGCACCGCAGACCCAGCAGGGTGAACGACGGACACCCCCCACCGCACCCCCGCCGCCCCGTTCTGGAGACGGGAAGTCCAAGATCAAGGTGCCGGCCACTGGTGTCAGGAGAGCACCCTCCTGACTTGCGGACGGCTGCCCGCTCTCGAAGTTCTCACTCGGCAGAGGGGGGGGCGGCCAGGAGAGAAGGCTCTGTTGTCTCTTCCTCTTCTTAGAAGGCACCAGCCCTATAGGGCCCCACCCTTATGACCTCATTTACCTTAACTACCTCCTGAAAGGCCCTGTTCCAATACAGGCACACTGGGATTTAGGGCTTCGACTTGTGAATTTGGGAGGGGCACAGTTCCGTCCATAGCTGGGTGGTTTCACCGTCTTTGGAGACCCCCGCACCCCCACCTGTGCCCTCTGCCCAGCCCGGAGGCAGAGGGCGTGCTCGGCTCTGGGAGGGGACGCGGGAAATCAGCACCATAGCTGGTTGGAGCCAGAGACGGGGGAATCCTGTAGATACACAAACTGTGGCAACTGGAACCCCACGCCAAATATTTTTGCCACGTCTGCGGGAAGTCTTTGGGTAGCCAGCTCTGAAGTTCATTTCTAAACCTCCTCATGTGCCCCGAAAGAGAAGCAAAACCAAGGAAGCAATCCACTCAAGCATGGCGGGTAGGACGGAGACTCTGGGGCAGGTGCTGGCCAGCTTCGTTCCCCTGGACCGGCCCAGTGCCTTGTGCGTGGCCCTGGACACCATCCTTCTGTTCTTCCGTCCTCACGCGTGAACCAGAAGCAACAGAGAGGCACCTCCGGAGTTGGTGCCCGCCGAGCCTTGGATCCTACTGCTTGGTGAACGGACAGGCCTGGCCCACACCGCACCGCAGCCACTGTCTTCTCCCGCCCCCGGGGTGGGACGCAGCATCCAGAAAGGGGTCACCAGGGTGTTTGAGGTCACCTGCCACACCGAGAGCAAAACCTGCCCATTCACGCAAAGCACCAGGTGTCGGGGGACAGCGGTACCGTGGGCTGAACTGTGTCTCCAAAAAGATACAGCCACGTCCTATCCCCCAGTACCTGCACATGTGACTGGATCTGGGGAGAGGGTCTTTGCCGATGTGATTAAAGATGTCAGGATGAAATCACCCTGGACTTACGGCGGCCCTAAACCCACTGACAGGTGTCCTTATGGAGAACGGAGGGAGAGTTGGGACACACAGACACACAAGGAGAAGGCCATAAGGCCTCAGGGAGGCAGAGGCCCAGCCGTGTGCCTGCAGGTGCAGGAAGGCCAGAGGCGGCCACCGAGCCCTGGAAGCGAGGAAGCAGAGAGGCCTGGACAGGTGTCCCTCAGTGCCAGAGGGATTTCAGATTTCCGGCCTCCAAAGAAGGAGGAGAGAAGAATGGGCTGCTGTTTTAGCCACCCAGCCTGCGGATTTCTTCTGGTAGCCCAGGAAGCCAGCAGCCATGGTGAGGCTGACCAGCACCTTCCCCTGGGGCTCCTGGCCGAGAGGGGAGCTGGCCATCCTGGGGGCTCGCGGAGGGCCCCTCCCTCCAGACATCGCAGCAGCACGTGGGCACTGAGCGAGCAGAGGCTCCCTGGGGAAGCCAAGTGTGGGAGATGTGGAGTTTGTTGCTGGACACGCTCTCTGCGGGGTGGCCCTTGCGTTTATTAGAAACAAGGCAGTATGCGTCCCCCTCGCCAGCTGTGCCGGCCAGAACCCGGGCTGACGCTCCAGTCCTTGACAGTGTGCATTCCGAGATCTCCTGGCCCCCAACCTAGCCTGCTGTCCCCAGCACCCTCCTGGCTGCAGCTCGCCCAAGGGAAGCACATCAAAGCTTGACCTCCTCATGGATCCCACCGTGGCTGCAGCTCCTGCCAGGTGTGGAGAGGGACCTCGGGGCACCTGGACCCAGCAAGGTGGGTGGCTTGGTGGAGACAGAGAAAAACCCCCATTCTGGCCGAGACATTCAGAATGTGTGACAAAGTCACCATGAAAACAACTCAGCTTTTAGAAACTGCAGGAGAACGCTCCCTTTCCAATTCTCCAAATCCTGCTTGCCTTAAAGCCATCATGTTTTGGGGAGCCTGGGTGGCTCAGTCAGTTAGGCGTCTGACTCTTGATTTCGGCCCAGGTCGTGATCTCCAGTTCATGAGTTCAAACCCTGAGTCAGGATCCGCACTGACAGTGCGGAGCCTGCTTGGGATTCTCTCTCTCCCTCTCTCTCTCTCTCTCTCTCTCTCTGCCCCTTCCCCAATTTCTCTCCCTCTCTCTCCTCTCTCTCTCTCTTGCTCTCTCTCTTTCTCTCTCCCTCCCTCTCTCTCTCTCTCTCAAAATAAACAATTATTTTTAAAAAGCCACATTTGGAGGGCGCCTGGATGGCGCAGTCGGTTAAGCGTCCGACTTCAGCCAGGTCACGATCTCGCGGTCCGTGAGTTCGAGCCCCGCTTCAGGCTCTGGGCTGATGGCTCAGAGCCTGGAGCCTGTTTCCGATTCTGTGTCTGCCTCTCTCTCTGCCCCTCCCCTGTTCATGCTCTGTCTCTCTCTGCCCCAAAAATAAATAAACGTTGAAAAAAAAAAATTTAAAAAGCCACATTTGGAAGCCTGCCCTCTTGGTCCCTAGCCCCCCATCCTCTGGGAAGGGTGTTTCTCTGTCCACGTCGCCCCTACTTCCGCCGTGACCTGCCCAAGTCAAAGATTAAGGGCCGCCTCTGCGACATAACATCTGATAGCTCTCAGGCGGATCCCTAGGGGCCACAACAGCCCCCCAGCGCTACGCAGCCTCGGATGCAGCTCTGGTCCCTTTGGGGAGGGAGAGGTCTCGCCCAGAGTGCACTGTCTCTGGAAGACGAGCTCGGCCCACGGTCCCTGCAGTCGGGAATATTCTCTGGGCTACGCACTAGCCTCCAACAGTCCAGCTCTGAGCTCCCACCCTTGGGGCTCCCATGCGGGACGTGCCTGGCCCCGCGTGCCCCTGACCGCCGCTTCCATCAGAGGCGGATTTCGTAAAACCCTAAACCACAACATCGGGAAGATAAGGTAAGCATCCACACTCCCCTGTCCTCCTTGGGAAGAGAAGACAAACTGGTTTCATCTCACACCGCGCACTGTGCGAGGCGCCCCGGTTCGAAGGCCCCGTGTGGCCACTCTGCCACCTGCTGACGGGAGGGGAGCAGCCTGTCAAAGTCCCTGGAAAGAAGTCTCGCACGCCCAGGGGGACCCGGCCGGGAGCCGCCTTCCCCTGCCCGATGGCCAGCGTGCGCACGTGTGTGGAGAGAGCGTTTCTGTCGGGGCCTGGTCGCCGTGTGCACACATACTGC